AAACAAAAAGGTATTCCAATCGCAAACTGGAGAAAAGATCACCATTTTTGAGATCAACGAGCCTCTTACACCGTCTACTACGGAGTCCTTCAAACAGATATTGAAAAAAGAGCTCGAGAAGATTTTGTTAACAACCAGCGAAAAAAATCGCGTATTAATCGTTGATAATCTTTTTGTCAATTGCTGGGAAAAGGTCCGCAATGTCGGGTATGGAGCATCTATGAAATCCTCGCTTCCATATCCGATCCCATATTCGATGGCAAATACACCAAGGGAGGGCAGCACCTTTGGAAACCAGCTGTTCATCATTGCGATTTCGCTAAAGTTTTACCTTGAAAACGAAATGAAAGATCTCAGCGAGCCTCCTTTATTCTTTACTGAGGAGAATATATATTCCACTCTGGATCTCTATCACTATGAATTGTTGCAAGAAATCAAGAGAAAACCCAAGTTATCTGTTTTTGAGCTCTTCATGCTTTTGAGGAAAAAGATATATGAAAATGACGACACTCTCAAGGCTTTTTTGAAACATGTAGTGATTGAAAGCATCAAGACATCGCCTCATCAGATCGTATCATCTGCCATTGAATTTATTTTAACCTGCACTCAGGTCCTTGCATACAGCGGCACCTTATACAATTGGAGGAACTTTGAAGTGATCCCAAATGTTGATATTGATGTCAGCCAGTCTTATGTGATCGAGAGACGAATTCACAACTCGTTTTCCTTTTCTCCTCGACCTTGCTACACGAAAGATTACCCTGAAATTCGAAACTATGCCGCTCAACGTCAAAATATGGGGCTTCTTGACAACAAGAATGCCCAATTTGATGCTTTATTGGACTTTATCTTGAAGACCAATACAACAGCACTGTTTGATGCCGGAGCTCTTTTGAAGGATCATTCCAACTCGCAGGTAGCACACGATATTTTGGCTTCAAAGAGATACAAGTGCGTGGTGTATTACGATGAAAAGGAAAATTTAATTGTCTATCAAATGGAGACTGGTAGAATTGGGAGAGATTTGCCTGTAGAGGGCCAGTTTTCGTTCCTCGAAACCAAGTACAATTTGAAAAACGCCGAGATTTTCTTGTATCTTGACCAGGCCCATTGCTTTGGGACCAATGTTGATGTCAACAATCCATCTGCAATTTGCGTGGTTACTTTCTCGACCCTTGTGTACACAAAGAGCTTTTACCAAACGCTCTTGAGAGCCCGAAAGCTGCTGAATGGAATTTCGATTGATAACTCGTTTAGTTTTTTGGTGAAGCCACGCCATCAGATTAAGATTTTTGTCTCTTCAATCCTAAAAGACGACCAAGATATGCTTTTGACGCTGAGTGCAAATGACAAGGAAGAATTGTCATCGAAAGCGAAATTTTTTTCAGAGGTTATAAATTCTGGCAACAAGACTGCTTTGAAAACAATTTTTACTTCTGCTCATTTGAGCCAGCTCAAGAGGGACCGTATAGAGCGAGATCTTTTACCTTGGCAAGCATTCTTTTCGAAGACTTTGAAAATCTTTTGGTCCCCCGCATATTCCTCTGCAGGCAATCGAATTCCCAACTGGGACAGGATTCTCAACCTGAATGGTCAAAAATCGATTGATCAGATTAAATGGATCTTTTTTTGTGAGAGCATGCCAAAGCCTGAAATTTTAAAATTCTTTCAAGCTAGCCAGGTAGGGGAGATTTTCCCCCCCGCCTTTGAGATGCCTTCCATACCATCGCGCTCCAATAATCTCACATTGGATATCGAGACTGTTGTTCAATCGACGCAAGAGCGGCAATCTATCCAAGAGCAGGAACAGATTCATGAAAGCGTGGAAGACACAAATGTATCCCCTGCAGAGCGATCGCCCTTTGGAATCTCTGATGCTGAACTGCCTAATTTAAGGGTGAGTTTTACAAAAGACTTTGCAACAACCGTTGTTGGTCGCCTCGATTTGAACGATACCTACACAAAATATCCGGTGTTTGTTGATACTTTCAAAGGAAAAAAGCTATTCGCCACAATGAACGATCTTTCTGAAAAGTTAAACGACACCGCGCACTTTTTCTTCTCCCCTGCACTGATAAACATCTATGATCTGAATGAATTTGACTTGGAAGACATGCTTCACTATCTGACATACTCTGGTAGTGCCGTTGGCTTTATGAATCTTCTAGATAGCTCTAAGGTGCTGAGAAGTCTGATTTTTAGTTTTATCGCAGCTCATGAGTGGATCTTGCAGAACTGGATCTATTTTGCAAGGAAATTCAAAAAACCGTCTTCATTGAGGCTATTAAGGCGTATACAATCGCAGTTTAAAGATAGCACCAAGTACGATTTCACAAACGTTGCCATAAAAGCAACTATTTCTGAGCGGAAATTGCGTCTCAGATTTTGTGCAAAGGACTCCAAAAAATCGACAAATCTGGATCAGTTTAATTTGCATTTTCTTCTGGATGATGACAAAGCTTGCAAGGCAATCAAGGGTTAGCATGACTAAGAGGCCTGAGTGGATCAAAACCCTTTGTTGGGCTTTCCAATCAAAACGCAATGTTTTAATCCGCAAAATGGACATTTTAATAAATTTTTTGTTGGACTCGCAGTTTGTGTACATTCACCCAAAATTCATTCAAATTCACAGCATGTTTTTAAAAGCAAAAAAGAATCTGGGAGATGGGAAATTTCCACTCATTAATGTGTATGAATAGTGAGCAGTCCTATTCAACACTATCTTCCTACACGATAAAGGAAAAGCCAATATGAGGCTAAATATGCCGATGTTCCACACTTCATTGCATAGGAGTCGACGATTGAAGGCCCAAAATTGGCCAGTTTCTATATGCCAGTTGAAGGGACAAGCTTACAGTGTCCATGCAGTGCGTAGTTTCCAGAATGTTTGAAAGCTTAGCATCTCGATGAAGAAATTCGTGTCAATGCATAATAAATGAAATTCTCGCTGAAATTGAGGGGTAGGGTTAGGTTTAGGCTTCACATTATGCCAGAAAAAAGAAATTACGTGAAAGCGTTTCCTACCGAACACAGCTGTAGCAATGAAATCGACATTCTTTAGATTTGACATCGCCCTCGGTCACTGATGAAGGAAACTCATTTGCAGTGTCGATGGTTGAGGAGGAGGAGGAGGATATCTAAATCATAAATTTTCATGCGGTACGAGCTTAGAAAAGACATTCACATTATCTGGAAATTTGGGAGCCAAATGAATCTTTGATGAGGAACTGGGCGCAATTTCACCACTCAGGCGATATGACCGGCGATTAACTGTGTGCGGCGACATCAAATAATTTGAATAAACAATTTATTAAATGCCAAGTTTTCAGTCAGCTTGCCCAAGATATCTTTTCCAGAAGATTAAGGTCAGATTACTTGGAAACACAAAACTTTTTTGGTGTTAGTTTGGTTACAGTTTTTACTGCTAAAAAGATTTGTTTATTTAGAATTTTAATAATAAGTGTCCCATAGTTAGGTTTAAAAAAAGGCAAAAGGGGCTCAAAAAGAGCAATGAAATCTTTTTGAAAAAGGGAAGAATCCCAGTCGCGGTAAAGGTAATTATGAAAGCACATAGCCAATTTAACGTCGATCCAAAAGAATCATAATCTTCCTGAAGGCTTGGGAGTAGGATTCTTGGAACAATCATCCAAGGGCTAGGTCCGAATCCAAATGAAAAACAAAAGATAAAGCCGAATGCAGCAGCAGATTTTATAGACGCTATATTTTTCAAGAAAGAAATGAGGAGGAGGAGCAATGAAGAGATTGCACATCCAGCTAGACTAGTTACATAGATATGTTTCATATCAACAGATTCCGCTAGATTGACGAGACAATTACTCCCTTCTTTTTTCCAGCCTTTTAGAGCCTCAATTGCAACATTTAAAAAAGTTCCAGCGAAATTTGCAACACCCAAAAAGATATAAATATTGGGAAGATCGTCAAACATCTCTTCTGTGCATGAAAAATATTCGTTAATGAAAGAGAACTGTTGAAATATATATAAGCCGACGAGAATTTTAAAGATTTTGATTCCTCTTTTAAAACCCTTATCAGGTTTAGATTTTGGTCTAGGTTTGCGCAGGGGTGAAGCTGAGTTGGAATTAGGATTATTTTTGTTGGGATTAGGATTATTTTTGTTGGGATTAGGATTATTTTTGTTGGGATTAGGATTATTTTTGTTGGGATTAGGATTATTTTTGTTGGGATTA